CAATAATTGCGGTAAATTTATCAAGTCAAAATTATGTAAGTCTTAATTATTATGCTATCAACTGGACTGAGAATTTATTATATTTTTTGGTCATGGCAAGAATAAATGAAACTACATATTCTATATGTATCATTAAACCAAGAGACTACACTAAAAAGAACCCCGAGTGCACGCTGACAAGCGTCTTGTTGTTAATAAACACTATAGGATTAAAACACCCAATAATGTTTGAAAGGTATAACATTTGCGAACTATCAAGTCAACGAAAGCTTTCAAAGTTATTCTCTGTTAAAATGCTGAGGGATATCTGCACGTCGTTTGAGCTTGATGTCACTGGAATCACAAAAAGACAGAAAAAGCCATATACAGACTTGCTAGATCAGCTGGTTGGCAAATGCACCTGTAATTAAGTGCATTCCATTCGATTTCCAGCTTAGAAAGTGTCTTCTTGTACACTTCTTATGGTCGTTTATAGATGATTGGCAAGTTTTATACCTCCATATTAATAAAGATTTATATTAATGAGTTCTTTRGAATGTTTTCAAAGTTCGTGCAAGATAAACGATATCATGATTTTGAGATTAGCGTTGTCGTGCTAATTCGATGACTCATTCGCTTGAATTTAATGAAAAAAGTTGCTACCCATAGAGTACTCACATTAAAGAAGGACCTTCCTTGTATGTAAGATCACTATTCTTCTTAAAAACACAACAAAAACAAGCCTAAAATGCTACTTATATCTTCAATATGTAAATTGATTGATCTTGCCGACGACTGARATTTGTTGATTTCTTGGAACTTTCGGGTCCTCGTACATCACGCTAAATGATTTCTCCAAGATAATTCAAACTGGTYCGCAAATATCATTCATTCCTCTCTAGGTTTTAGTGTTTCTTGATCAAAATTATTTTTCGCACATGGGAAAAATTAGAACTATTTCGATGTCGTTATGGCTATTTTATACCTTTCATGAATAAATTAAACAAAATACGAAATACTTTACTTGATTGCCTGAAATTCTGTTAAACATATTCTAAGATATTACTTAAGGTTCGTAGAAAATCTCAAAGCATTAGCTTTTTCAGTTTGTTTTTTTTCGAGCCGTCAAAGTAGCCGTAAATTATGAGTTCGAAATTAGCGAAGTCTGGTCGCCAATCAATTCCCTCGAATTTCTCGAGAAATAAGTCATATTTTAACAAACAAACTACATAGCGTTTATCCCTATATTGAGGCCTAACTATGGTTAGAATAAGAGAGGAATCAATTTTTTGAGCCTTGCCGCTCGGTTTGATTTTTAGTGACATTCACACTTAATTGTAATTAAATTTTCATTTTAGTTAAAACTGTTTTGTTTCCTCAGAGCCTTGTTTTCAGTTTTCATGTTTGTGCTTATT